CTACTTGTCCTTTCACCATCATATATGTATCCTTTCTCAGAATCATTCCTTCAGTCTCTTCTAAACACCTTGTTTTGTCCTTTCTCAACTTGTTTGAGCATCTTATTGAAGTTTCTGGCTATGAGACTAAGATTTTCTTCAATTTGTTTGACTCTGACATCATCATTTTCTGTAGTGAAGGCTATTCCCTTCTGATGATCAGGTTCCTCAGCATCTGCTTCCATTTCTTCTGCCTTGAGCATCCCACATAGCTTGTCAAACTTCATGTCATCTGTATTCATAGAATACTTTAGTACAGCTTTGTGAGCAACATACTTCGGAGGTAGACACCTAAGCAGTTTCTTAACCAGCTTTTTCTCTTTGTATTTCTTTCCCGCCACAGATGCTTCATTAGAAATTATGCTGATCTTGGCAGTTAAGCTAGCAATAGACTCATGTTTAACCATCCTGAAGTTTTCAAATTGAGAAGCAAGGTGGTCTATCAGAGTTCTTCTGACACTTGTATCTCCTTCAAAATGATTGATAAGCGTATCTCAAGCCTCTTTTGCTGCCTCACACGCTTGTATGATCTTGAATTGATCTATATCAACAGCACCAAAAATAGCTGTCATGGCCTTAGAATTGTATTTTGATACGTTTTTAACAGCTTCAGTCCATCTCTCCTTAGGTTTAGGTTTCACAACCGTCTTGGATGGAATTGTATTATCTTCTAATTTTTCTTCTACTAAGATCGTTGGGGTTCCCACCCATCAATGATGGCTGTCCATGCATCTTCATTTATCCCACGTATGAGATGACGCATCCTAGCTTTCCATTGACCAAAATTCCCAGCATCAAGTATCACGGGCTTTTGAACCGCGATGAGCTCCCTCATATTACCCATGGTTACGCCAAGATCTCAACCTATAAAATAAATTTGTAAACCTATAAGGTGACCCGCTCTGATACCAAATGAAAGACCAAAGATACTTGAAAGTAGTCGAGCAATTCAAATAGAATAGAATGGAACTTGTAACCAAAACTCTTTATTAGAAATCGCTTAAACAATTTTCAATAACTTGTTTAATCAGAATGATACACCCTTACAATGATCTAAATCGACCTGTAATGTGATACTGACCAATTTCTAATCTACCCATACAGCAACATATGTGTTTGCTCCAAGAGCACCTAAACTCTCTTCCAAGATAGAGTGTTCTAATCCTCTTTAGTGCTAACCCTAATACTAAGACAAAGATGTTCTATTTATCCTAGACTCGCAACGCCAAACTTGCTGTGTCTTGAATATTCGCAAATCATCGAATATAGTAACTTCTAAATTTTCCTTGATTCCCACGTATCCGGTTGTCAAAACTCTTCTAATTTCGTGACATGTGTGTAACACACTTTCCAGCTGTTCCATGGTTCTTAACTTACAGAAATTTCAATGAACCATGTCTGAACTAAAATTATTATACTAATAAATTTTTACCAAAATTTAGAAATCTAAACCAAAATACCAATTTTACATTGAAAATATATATTTTAAAGTACCAGATCATTTTTTTTCTATCTGCTGTCCAAATTCAAAAAGGAATGGGATTAGAAGGAGAGCGGAAATTTATATTCTGATCATTTACATTAACAAATCTATAATATTATTTCTCTTGTTTTTTTTCTATGACCTTTCGTGTATTTTCCTTGTTTGATTTTTAGTTTTTTTTATCATGTATTTGATTTAGGTTTTCGGTTTCACCGCGTTGATCTGTTTCACCTTGTATTATAATATCTCTGTATTTCACTTTATTGAATATTAATTACTTTCAATTAAAAAAATTATTATTAATTTGTGTATACGTGAATCTTAATTTAGTAAATAATAAATAAAAATAAAAAAATATTCTTGTTATTACTTAAAATGTATTAATAATATTTTTGGTTTATAGTATTGATATAGTAAAAATGAGAAAAATTGATGAATAAATAATATTATTAATAAATAAATTTAAAGAATAAAATCATGGATTTGCGGATTTGACAAATACAAATTTGTAGATTTTACGGGTTTTACAAATTTTAGCAGGTTTTATAAGTTTTAGCAAAAAATATATACTTTTACGAGAAAATGTTTGTTTGACAAAAAATATGCTTTTGTAGATTTAACAGAAACACATGATTTTATAAATTTGGTCGTAAATCATGATTTTACAGATTTTATGGGGTTTACGGGAAAACACGTGTTTACGGAATACGAATAACGCAATTTTTGCGGATTTTATGGGTTTTACAGGTTTTAGCGAGAAAATGTATTCATACAGGAAAATGCGGGTTTGTGGGTTTGGAAATTCGATTTTGCAGGTTTGGCAGAAACACATGAATTTAAAAATTTGGTCGTAAAAACACGATTTTCGGATTTTACAAATTTACAGAAAATATGGGTTTGTGGATTCGGCCAGAAATGTGATTTTACGAATTTTATGAGGTTTACATGTTTTGGCGGGTTTTGTTATAAAAATGTGGGTTTACAGTTTTGAAAGGAAAATATGGTTTGATGGAAAATGCTATTTTTACCGTTTCCACAAGAATTCCTGATTTTTATATAACAACATGATTTTAGTAATTTTTGGTTTTGTTAAAAAATACGGGTTTACAGTTTTGGCAGGAAAATACTGTTTGATAGAAAATGCTATTTTTACAGTTTCTACAAAAAATTTTGATTTTGGTACAACAACGTAATTTTAGTTATTTGCGGGAAATGCGGCTATTTATCTCGATAGAAAAATCTGATTTTATGGTTTTGAAAAATAAAAAACTTGATTTTGTGGTTTAAATTAAAAGGTGTTTTGTCTTTTAATTTTTGAGATTTAAATGCTTTATCCAAACTCTATTTTTTTAGCATCTTAAATATTCAAATTTTGAAATATTATAGATTTTGTATCCAGATATTTAAAAGAAAAATATTTGAGCATTAACATCCAAATAAGTATCTCGATGCAAAAACAAACAAAGCCTAAGTAAATATTGAAATTTTAATTACAAACAAATAAAATCTCTCTGGCATTATAAAACACAATATTTTGAAATATTTGTTACAAAAATTAACAGAAAATTCGCTAATCAAAATACTTTTCTTAAATAAAATCAAGCCTAAATAATTTTAAGAATATAAAACCATAATGTAAGAATAATTTATATAATCTAATAAACAATTTCTGTTTGGGCCCCAATTTTGGATTTAATAATATAAGCTGATTTGTTTTGAACAAAAATTTAATATAAACTGATTTTTGGTGTGACTCAAAAATATTTTATGAAAAGAAACCCGTGCAAGTGCACGGATCTAAAATCTTGTTCTTTTTTAAAAGAGCAACCTAATCCATTGAATAGTGAACACAAAACCATATATAGTCTAATAGTCATTTAGAATAAAATAAAGAGTAAAAACAAACATAACTTTCGCTTATATAAAATATATTAATAAATAATAATTCTCACTTTTGGTAATATATTTTAAAAAGTATCTAATTGTATATTTATATAAAAGTATTTAGTTTATATATAATTTGGAACAAATGAGATTTTGGGAATTCCTGTTCCTGTACTGTCTCGTCCCGTTCTGTTTCCAAATGGGAATCGATACGATGTACCATATGAGAATGTATTTCCATATGGTATGGGAATTTGGGATTGTGACTGGAACAGGACAGGATGGGATGGAACTGGAATTATGCCCACCCCTAAAGTTCTCTATGACCGGAGATCTAAGTAATGGCAGATTCCTGTCAATAAAACACCCCTATGAGCCGAAACTAAAGCTCTTATTCTCTGTTGAGTCATAGTTCGTGTAAGTCGTGAATGAGCCCCTCGAAAGCTTGATGCAAATAAACGAAGTTTTGTTCTACGCCTCCGAGCTATATATCCGCGTTTAATTCTAGTCATTGAATAAATCAAACTTTGATGAATAACTAATTCTTTTTTTAGTTATTCTTTTCCCCTTTACTAGTCATTAATAACCAAACGAATTATTCCAATGTATAAAAAAAATTCCAATGGCTTTTGCTACTCTAACCTTCCCCACCACTATTTTTTGCTAGATATTTTCCTTTGCTTTGGATCCTTTGGCTCTTTGACAGTAAAGAAACGGCTCTAGTAGTGTCACCCTTACAGTAAAGAAACGGCTTAAGGAGCATAGATTTGAGTTTCATAATAAATGCTACTGTCATCGTACTCAAGTTTTGGCACGCGCATCCAAAGAAACTTCCACTGCTTCGACAAAACACTCGTACTTACAGCAACTTTTGTTGGAAGATACGTTAAGATCTTAACAAGCAATTCATCATCAGAAAACCCATTGATCTTCTCCATAACTTAAACAAAACCCACTAAGATTCTGTTACCCTTACTGTAGGGTAAGAGGCTTGAATTTTTGTCTAAGCCACAGAAGACAAGTAACACCAAATGCAGAGGAACCGGATGATAATTAAAAACCCTAGAACATCTACAATTTGTCAAAACCCTAGGAACGGATGTCAAATGAACTGAATGATTAGTACTCTTTCTATATAAATGGAAACTACTCTCTTACAGGGGCCCAGGGGAACACAAAAAGAAAAACAAAACAAAAAGTAATTTTGGATTTTTATTGGTTTTGGCCTATGGATTTTATTTTCAAATTTACTAGCAAAAAGGTCCCAAAATTGACTATAATGTGTCCTTACAAGTACAAGACTTGATTCAGGTTGAGCAAAGCTCACCTCCTCGACCTTGAGAAGTAGTTCAAAGAGACTTTGAGTACCTGAAGAGTTGTTGTTAACGTGACAAAAAGGATAAAAAGATATAGGCAAACTTCCTTTTGAACCCTACTCTTTCGTAGAGAATAAGAATGAAACACTTAAACGTGATGTAAAAAAAATAAAATTACCAATTGTTTTTCCTTAGACTATAATCACATTTGAAAAAATCTGACCATTGCTACAATATCGATAAAAATAATGCAAGTTAAAATCCTATTATTTAAATCCTCAATCAAATGCGAGTTGGCACATTGTTGAAGCTCGGGAAGAAAGTGACAACTCCTTGATTATTTCAAGTTTCCAATGTATATCCAACTCTGACGGAGTCAATGTCGTCGCAGTCTTTAATCGATAAGCATTTTTCAAGATGAAAATCACGAGATCTCTTGCTTCTTGTGCTCCGTTGAACCCTGTCCACTTGAAAGTTTTGAGACTCCAAAACGAACATTCAGAAACATACTTAGTTGATTCTTCCAGAAAACAATTGGGTCCCTACCGTAACATGCATGTTCCTGAGATCATACATGAGATTTTGGTTTACTTTATGCAGTGTATTAGACAAAAAAAATATTCAGAGGAGAGATAATTATACTCACATTATCCACCTAGAGCTTGAGAACTCTTAGTTTATGAGATTCTTTGAGAACCTGAACCATAAACGTTGACCAATTTATTTCACATGTACATAGCTTCAAGTGTTCAATCTGGTCGAAGAGAATTCCATTAGAATACATAACAGCCTTCACGCGCTACTATGCGATCTAGTGCTTTAATTGCTATAACAATGGACTAAGGACTTCATGAGGTTGAATGATAGAACAAATTATCTCTCCATGGCTGCTTAATCATAATGAAAGACGCTTGACTGATGTAAAAGCCTCTAAAAAGTTGTTGACATTGGGGAATAGAACATCCAAATCTGCCTCCTCAAGCTTAGGCATATTCTCAATCAAACAAAAAATGATGATTACTATTGTAGTAAATAACTTTGAAGTACCTCAAAGAACAATCTATCACAAACCCATCAGTAACACGGATCTCGGCTATGTCTCCGGATAAAATCTTCAAAAAAGGGATGTTAACATGGATCGCTATTACATTATCACTTCTATATTGTTTCACTAAAAGTTCTTCAAGAACAGGGAAGTTGGATAGAATCATCTGTTGATTAGATCCTTCATATGAGTATCTCATACATTGAAGGTGTAAAGTTTTAAGGGAGGGGAGACAAGCCATACAAGGAACATCAACAAGAATCTTTCCTTCGAGTTTCAAGGTCACAAGCGATTTGTGAGTATACAAGCTACTTGGAACAACAATCTCTCGCACATTGCTATACTCATGGTCGACAATCAGATCTTCAAGAACAGGGCAATTGGATAGAATTATTTGAAGAGAATTTTCCACTACGTATGCTACATATCGAAGATGCAAAAATTTCAGACACGGAAGACAAACCGTAAGAGGAACATCCAAGAGAATATCATCATGGAGTTTCAGGGTCAATAAGTTCCGAGGCAATATGGTAAGATATTTCCGACGAAAAGTAAGATATCGACGAAAAGAATAAGCAATACTCAGCTTGCAGATACTGCAAGAAACTGCAATGTTAACCCACCATGTGATATCTGTAGGTTGAAATGGAGAAGTAATAAACTTGAGACCCAAGCTTTTAATGATCAGAGGTTGATGTAATGTTAGATTCCTTATAGTAAAACAGCGTAACATGTAGCGTTCAGACGGTTTAGTTTTACTGTCATGGTACTCATGAGTTGTCACCCAAACCTAGAGGTTCATCCATTGTTTTGACAGCAATTCATCAGGCAACCCACTGATCTTGTCCATGCCTTCACAAACGCAAAGTTTCTGTTACTATTGATGGAAACGCCGGGCTTAGGTGACTTGGATTTTTATCATTTGACACAGATGGATAGCTTTCAACCTTAGAGAGGGCATCTCAAAATAATGCCAAGTCGGGGGCTGCTTACCAATACAAACCATTGAACCATCACGTCCCCACTCGGGTAAAATTTTGAAGGTGTTTTAAAGCTTTCGGAAGGAAAAAGAGTGGGACAAGGAACTCGATGGGGCATGCTCGAGCAATGCCAAGGCTAGTACTGTGGTAACGGTATAAATGCCATATATGTTATGACTCAATGGGGCAAGCTCGAGCAATGCCAAGGCTATTGAGTAGTGGCCGTGAGTACATAGATCAATTAGTCCAACACGTCCCCACTTGGGTTAGATTCCTTATAGTAAAACAGCGTAACATGTAGCGTTCAGACGGTTTAGTTTTACTGTCATGGTACTCATGAGTTGTCACCCAAACCTAGAGGTTCATCCATTGTTTTGACAGCAATTCATCAGGCAACCCACTGATCTTGTCCATGCCTTCACAAACGCAAAGTTTCTGTTACTATTGATGGAAACGCCGGGCTTAGGTGACGTGATGCCATCACGTCCCCACTCGGGTAAAATTTTGAAGGTGTTTTAAAGCTTTCGGAAGGAAAAAGAGTGGGACAAGGAACTCGATGGGGCATGCTCGAGCAATGCCAAGGCTAGTACTGTGGTAACGGTATAAATGCCATATATGTTATGACTCAATGGGGCAAGCTCGAGCAATGCCAAGGCTATTGAGTAGTGGCCGTGAGTACATAGATCAATTAGTCCAACACGTCCCCACTTGGGTTAGATTCCTTATAGTAAAACAGCGTAACATGTAGCGTTCAGACGGTTTAGTTTTACTGTCATGGTACTCATGAGTTGTCACCCAAACCTAGAGGTTCATCCATTGTTTTGACAGCAATTCATCAGGCAACCCACTGATCTTGTCCATGCCTTCACAAACGCAAAGTTTCTGTTACTATTGATGGAAACGCCGGGCTTAGGTGACGTGATGCCATCACGTCCCCACTCGGGTAAAATTTTGAAGGTGTTTTAAAGCTTTCGGAAGGAAAAAGAGTGGGACAAGGAACTCGATGGGGCATGCTCGAGCAATGCCAAGGCTAGTACTGTGGTAACGGTATAAATGCCATATATGTTATGACTCAATGGGGCAAGCTCGAGCAATGCCAAGGCTATTGAGTAGTGGCCGTGAGTACATAGATCAATTAGTCCAACACGTCCCCACTTGGGTGTTTTAAAGCTTTCGGAAGGAAAAAGAGTGGGACAAGGAACTCGATGGGGCATGCTCGAGCAATGCCAAGGCTAGTACTGTGGTAACGGTATAAATGCCATATATGTTATGACTCAATGGGGCAAGCTCGAGCAATGCCAAGGCTATTGAGTAGTGGCCGTGAGTACATAGATCAATTAGTCCAACACGTCCCCACTTGGGTTAGATTCCTTATAGTAAAACAGCGTAACATGTAGCGTTCAGACGGTTTAGTTTTACTGTCATGGTACTCATGAGTTGTCACCCAAACCTAGAGGTTCATCCATTGTTTTGACAGCAATTCATCAGGCAACCCACTGATCTTGTCCATGCCTTCACAAACGCAAAGTTTCTGTTACTATTGATGGAAACGCCGGGCTTAGGTGACGTGATGCCATCACGTCCCCACTCGGGTAAAATTTTGAAGGTGTTTTAAAGCTTTCGGAAGGAAAAAGAGTGGGACAAGGAACTCGATGGGGCATGCTCGAGCAATGCCAAGGCTAGTACTGTGGTAACGGTATAAATGCCATATATGTTATGACTCAATGGGGCAAGCTCGAGCAATGCCAAGGCTATTGAGTAGTGGCCGTGAGTACATAGATCAATTAGTCCAACACGTCCCCACTTGGGTTACAAGCTCTCGTTACTTAGCTCGACACTTTATAACTGGTTCTTCCCTATATATAAACAAGAAGAATCTAGCAGAAATACCGATGTGGGACTTAAATTATGAATTTTTTTTCTTCGATGTGGGCAAATCCTATTTTCATTTTAAGGCCCAAACTAAAAAACTAATTTACTAAATTTAGTAAAGAAATATTTAATTAACTAATATCTAAATCATATTTTGACTAAAGGTTGACCGAAAATCTATGATCAAATATCTAGTTGCAAAGGTTGCGGTTTAATAAAATCATAATAAGATTTTCATGAACGTTGACGAGACCAAACCGGTGGATTTGGAGTTAAACAAGTTCAGAGGCAATATGTTTCTATTAGTGTATATAGCTCTATTGTACATCGGTATGATATAAACCGATTAATTATTTCTATTGGTTTAGGTTCTGATATTGTATATAAGTCGAACCACATTGTACATTCCAATTCAATCAATGAGAATATTTCATTTTCAGCTTCTCTTTGGTAAAATGGTAGCAGAGCAAATAAGGCGATTTGATCATCCATCGTTTCCGATCTACTTTTCTCTTTGATTCACTTCAGCTTTCCGATTTTTCGCCGGAATCCTTGCTGCTTCCGCTCCGTTCTCTGCTTTTCTAGCTTTGACAAGCTCCTTTTCGTTTTGGTCGTGTTCTACAGCTCCGATCGAGGTTTTCACCAGATTTGAGTTGTTCTTCTCGATACAATGACCAAACGCAAATGCAAGTCGAAGTATCGTCGTTCATCACCAGATTCCAAGGAATTTGGTTCTCCCACGCCTCAGAGATCTCCCGGTGCTTCTCAGGCTCGCGATGATTCTGGCGTTCTTCGCGGTGTTTCTGTTGCTCCAGATCGCGTTGATGTTCGTCGATCTTCTACATCGCAATCTCTTCATCACTCGTTTGAGGTATCCGATTCTCCCGATAACGTTCATAGTCCCTATCATCTAGTTAGCTCAGATCATCCTGGTTTAGTTCTTGCTGCTGAAGCCTTAGATGGAACGAATTATGGTGTTTGGAGCATTGCTATGATTACTAGTTTAGAGGCTAAGAACAAAATGGGATTCATTGATGGATCAATACCCCAACCTGCTGAATATGATCCATATTTCAAGATTTGGTGTCGCTGCAATAGCATGGTGAAGTCTTGGCTGTTAAACAGTGTTGCGAAGACAATATATACGAGCATCTTATACTTCAAGTCTGCATCCGATATATGGAAGGATCTTCACACTCGTTTTCACAAATCTAACTTGCCTCGCCTCTACAAGCTTCGACATCAACTTCATTCCTTCCGTCAAGGCAGTCTTGATCTGTCATCCTATCACACTCAGGTTCAATCACTATGGGAGGAATTATCCAGCTTACAGATTACAGCTCACACTGTTGAGGATTTGATTGCTGAGCGTGAGACAAACAGGGTCATTGATTTCCTTATGGGCCTGAATGACAACTATGAGAGTATTCGTAGCCGCATTTTAATGAAAAAGACATTGCCTACTCTCTCTAAAGTGTACAATATGCTTGATCAAGAAGAAAGCCAGAAGTCTGCTCGTCAATCATGTGATCTTGCTTCTTCTGCATTTCAGACGTCTCATACTCATGTTACAGCCCCTGCCTTGAGTTCTCAGACTACTGGAGAGGTATCTAAGGAAGATAAACCTTTGTGCACATACTGTGGCAAAGCTGGCCATGTGGTTGATCGTTGCTACAAGAAACACGGGTATCCTGCGCATTTCAAATCTAAGCACAAGAAATCGGGTTCTGTTGCTGCGAATATGGCCATGAATGATTCATCATCAGAACAAGTGGCTCTCACAGAGGATCTTTCTTCAGCACAGATACAGCAGCTAGTATCCTTCTTGAGCAGTAAGCTTCAGGCTCCTTGCACCACCACACCACCTGCAGTTCACTCTGTCTCAGTTTCCTCAGACCTTTCTAACTCAACTGTTTGCCCAATCTCCGGTAATTTTTACCCCTCTATCCTTTGTTCTTTTACCGGAATTGATAGACCTTATGTTTGCTCTGTTAACGGAAATAACGTAGCTATTAATGCTTGGGTCATCGACACAGGAGCAACTAACCATATTTCTCATGATAAATCCTCTTTCTCTACTTATAAAACCCTTTCTAATACCACCGTTACTTTTCCCACTGGAGTTCTTGTGAGCATTGTCGGTTTAGGAACTATACACTTGGGTAGAAACTTGATCCTTACTGATGTTCTTCACATACCTCAGTTTAAGTTCAACCTTCTTAGTGTTAGTTCCTTAACCAAGAGTATGGGTTGTAGAATTTGGTTTGATGAGTCTTCTTGTGTTCTTCAGGAGCGTACACAGGGATTAATGATTGGAATGGGTAGACAGGTGGCTAATCTCTACTTTCTGGATATCGAGTCTATTTCCTCTCAAGGTACTTCAGTCTCTTCTGTCGTCGCGAATGTATCTAGTCCTGATTTGTGGCATAAAAGGCTAGGTCATCCGTCTATGTCTAAGATCCATCCTATGTATGATGTTCTTTCTTTTCCTAAACAAAATAGTAACCCTGAGTTTCATTGTCGTATTTGCCATCTTGCTAAACAGAAACATATACCCTTTGTGTCTCATAATAATCTCAATAAGAATCCTTTTGATCTGGTTCATATAGATACCTGGGGGCCTTTCTCTGTTCCTACTCACGATGGGTATAGATACTTCCTGACAATTGTTGATGATTGCTCTAGGGCTACTTGGGTTTATCTCCTTAAGAAGAAGTCGGATGTGTTAGAAGTGTTTCCCACGTTTGTCAATATGGTTGAAACTCAATTTGAAACTAGAGTTAAGGGGGTTAGGTCCGACAATGCTCAAGAACTTAAGTTTACTGACTTCTACAAATCCAAAGGCATTGTTTCTTTTCATTCTTGCCCTGAAACAGCCCAACAAAACTCTGTCATTGAGCGCAAACACCAATACATTCTAAATGTTGTTCGTTCCCTTCTCTTTCAATCTCATATTCCCCTTCCTTACTGGGGTGACTGCATTCTCACCGCAGTTCACCTCATTAATCGTCTCCCTGCTCCTGTGCTCGAAGATAAGAGTCCTTTTGAAGTTTTAACAAAGAAGATTCCTGACTACACGCAGCTTAAAGTTTATGGTTGCCTCTGTTATGCTTCTACTTCTCCTAAGGGCAGACTTAAATTTGATCCCAGAGCTCGCGCTTGTGTTTTTCTTGGTTATCCTAGCGGGTACAAAGGCTACAAGCTCCTCGACCTTCAGTCTAACGAAATCTTTATTTCTAGACATGTTGTCTTTCATGAAGAGCTCTTTCCCTTTGTCCACTCAAATCTTTCCCCAGAAGCTTCCACTCTCTTTTCTGATCTGATGGACAAACCTCCTATGGATCCTCAATCTTCCGGTGTTGACACTTCTCTGTCTTCACCTCCCGTAGAATATGTGCCTTCTGCCATTTCTACTTGCGATGTTGTTGAACCTTCTGTTCCAACATCCCATATGAGG